AGGGCGCCACCAAATTTGGAGGACACTTTTTTAATTGGCTCAAAGAGAGAAGTGGCCCATCTTGTTATGTACTATCATTGATGCAAATGAGGAAGTCTCCGACTATTTATTTGTCTGTCTTCACCACTCAGTGACGTCACACCTAATAGCCGTGTCACTAGAGGAAATTTTTCTGGTGATGGGAGGTTTGTCAAGGCCAAACACTGGTTGAAACTGGTTTAAAAAAAAACAAAACAACTTCCTAGCAGAGAGAATGAGATACTGGATGAAGTATTTACGGAAATATTCGATTATGTATTTCCCCACGTGGGAATCGATCTCACGCTTGTAGTGTGCTACACTGAAGAGTCTAACCCATATATTACAAGTCGCCAGGAAGCTGATATTGTTGTGATACTAAAAATCTGATTGTAACCCAAGAAGGTTTTCCAAGACTAACGAAAAGACGATCCCATCGGTTTGTTTTTTCTGAGCGTCGAAGAAAATACTAAACCAATAAGAATCTCCCCGTCGTTTCAAGGATTTACGAGAAAACGGAAGAACAAAAAAATGCCGCAAATCTAAAGTTGTAAAAAAAACTTGCTTCTCAATCTTGATAATATCCACTATGATAAATCAAGTTTTGTTGTATCCAAATCAAATCATAGGATTCAACGCATGAGTCGAAAAAAGACGCGAAGTAATTTCGCTGTACTGTGGTATAGGCATAATGGTTGTTCGGTCTAGAGGATATCTCTTCGCCAAAACGGGCACGGAAATCATTTGAGGCTGACATCGCCTGATCCACCATCATTCCAGAACAAAGCAGCAAGCTCTAGAAATGGTTCCTGCGCATGCTCCGATGACTTTGAGTTCCGTTTCGTCTTGATGTTTACGCCAGTTTCCTTCTTGTTTTACCGTCCGTTCGTGATTCGCGCACAGAGCCCGAGCACGGAACACTTGTTTTAATGTTCTCTCTCCACCGGTTGATGGGTTAGGGGAGAGGTTTGAAGGGGCTTTGGGGAGAGGGGGATCACGGAGCGGGGAGAAAGAAGGAAGAAGAGTGACACACACACACACACACACACACACACACAGAGAGAGAGAGAGAGAGAGAGAGAGAGAGAGAGATA